ATTGCTGCATCCCCAAAAACTGCCAAAAACACCATACACAAGACTTGCCCGTCCATGCACAGGACTTGCTCGTCATGCAGATGGCGTGCGACGCCGCAAAGCGCAAAAAGTGCTCTCGCTAGGTGGAAGACTCACTCAATGACTGCGAATAACGCATGATGTTTGAATGAGGTACAGGCGCACGACTCGTTTCACTGCGAGTTTCGACAGTAAGACACTTCAAACATCTTCAAGTCCCTGTGGTTTGAGCAGGCTTTGATGGGATTGCTTAGGCTGTGTTGGCTTTCAGAACCAATCATTGTGCCAAGCTTTGGGCAACACAGGCTTCTGCAATCTTCTAGATTGTAGAGAAGCTTCTCGACTAGTGGTGACTAGCTCTGAAGGACCCTTAGCTGCCGGATGCTGTCGGATCAGATGCCACAGCATGAATGTCAGAGCTAAAGACTCTGGCACAAACAGACTTTATCCGGCTGACCATGTTTGGGTAGTTGGAAGTGCAAATTAACGCGTGTGGTGACCATTTCTCGGTGTGCATCCTCGGTGTGTCCTACACAGAAACACGCACGCAGACAATGAAACGAAGTGCTGCAAGGTGCATTGGTGCATTACATAAAATGTTTGCTTACCTTGCTGTCCAGGATTCCATAGCGCGGGGCTGTAAAGCGTTGAAAAACACCCTCCAGAGCCATAACTCCCATTTGCGCAGTCAAAACTTTCAAGCCTGCTGCAGGCGCAGCTGCTGCCAAGAGAGGGAACTTCTCGGTGATCCCAATGCTGTCCCATGCCGAGAGTGCCACACACCGCACGTCACACCCCCTTCCATCCAGGAACTGCTCTCGAGCACAAAATGCCTCCAAGGCGCGTGCCCCGGCAGCATACTGCGTAAGTTGAGCAGCCCCATTCACTGAGACAGCTGTTGATGTGAATAGCACTGGCAGCGTGTGCTTTACATTTGCATTCTTTCGCAGTGAGCTCAGGACTGAAATGAAGTTTTCTGCTCCGCGGAGCTTCCTCAAAGGTCCCCGCATAGAACTTGACGGATCCAAGTCGCAGAAGGGCAATGGACAAAAGGACTCGCACAGGCTGGAAGCAAAATCAATCTCTTCCACACAGCAGTTGTTCAAAGCACTCTCTAGCTGCCGTCTGTCACTAACATCTGCAGGAATGTACATGATCTGGGAGGCAGTGCGCTGTAGCTGGTCCAGCATGCTTCTGCACCTCCCTGTAGGCATCGAGCGCCCAAGCAGAATCAACGTTTCTGCTGCAAGGTATTGTGCCCATGTAGCTCCTAGCCCTCCTGCACCGCCTGCAATCAGCACCGTCGCAAACGACTTTGCAGCTTGACTTGCCTCCAGAGTTACGGCTTTCAGTCGGCGAACGAAACGGTTGCCATCACTGTCAAGAAGGAGCTCTGATGGAAACGTCACGCTTGTTGCCAGGTCGCTTGCAATTGAAGTAAGTGCCTCGGCAAGCCTGTGCTCAGCTTGCTCGATCATGTTGGGAGCGACGTCCACATGACAAACATGCAATGGCAGCTCAGCTGCAGCGCTAAGCAACACTCCTGTGAGGATATGCTTTCGGGGATCCGACAATGCGCCGCAAAGATGAGAGCACCTCTGGGTGGACACACAAAGCACTTGGAGAACCGAAGCTGCCGGCTGAAAGGCCAGCTTCAGCTTGCCGCCCTCTGTGTCAGGCTGCTTTAAACCCTTGTTCCATGCCTGCAAAATTCGTATCAGACTTGTCACATCTCTGGCCTCACCACACTGGCCTTGGTGTGTCTCGAGCTGGAGCAGATGCATGAGAATCGAGGCATTACCAGCCATGGCCACAGACTCTTCTTCATCCGCATTGAGAGGCACCCACGACCCGTGGTTCCTCAGGCTGGAGCAGAGCGCTGGAACAAGCTTTCCATGCTTGAGTCCAACGAGCAGCGCCAACGGATTTAGCTCTTCAGGCGCCTCACACTGGACGCCGACTGCTGCACCCTCCATTCTTTCTTCCAGAGCATCTTCATCTACATTTTCCACCTCACCCTGCTGGGTGGGCTGGTAAGGTTTGAAGTCTTCTTCAAAAACCCACTCCGAAGGAAGCAACTCTTCAGGAGGCTTGACGACCACATGCTGGCTGTCGCAGGTGCTTGTGGGGGCACACGGCCTACCACAAAATCGGCGAGGCATCTTGGCAGCTGGTACGGGGGCTAGTCTAGGGGAGACGCCAAGTGTCAAAGCCAGGTGACCTGAAAGAGTATTGACAATGTGTGCCACTTGTGATGCACTAGGTGCGGATGGGACAAAGCAAACCGAAAGTCCTTCCGTGTGAATCTTTCGTGTTTGTGAAGTGCTTCCTTTGGTCTCGCAGACGGCAACAGCAGAACCAGGCATCACCTCGGTGGCCAACTCCAGAGCTGCTTCAAGCTCCTCCGATGTGTATTCCACACCGCCAAGGACTCGAAAGACTTCATGTCCAAAGGCGTTCAAACGCAAGAAATGATGCCCGTGAACATATTGCAAAGAAGCACAGACGCCTGTTGAAACCCAGCCGCTGCAGGGCAATAATGGTGAGCAGGAGAGACCAGGCAAGACCGCCAAGCCACGAACTTCAACCACGGAAGCTTTGCCGCAGATGTGCCCCTCAATGCCTGCTGCAAACTTGAACTCTTGGCTGCAGTCCCGTTGGCAGGAAGAAGGATTGAAAAGGTCTGTGTGTGCAATAAGCGCGCCCCATGGAGCAAGCAGATGGCTCTGAAACTTAACGGGTGTAGATGCTTGCACGCTGGCATTAGCAAGCTGCAGGACAAGCATTTGAAACTCTTCGAGCTCCCCAGGCCGTGGATGGCACATATCAAAGTCGCTCCCATGAAGCGTTGTCCACCGCCGAACATACTGAAGCCCCTGCCAGCTTACGACGCGAGAGCACTTTGTTGCCGGAGCGGTCGGCGTGGCTCCACTTGCAGACAAACGCAGGGCGTGCAATGCTCGTCGAAAAAAGATGACTGGCACACTCACTTCATGCAGCCTATGCCGAGCAATGATTTCCAGTAGTGTATTTGGATGTGTCAAGCCATCCATGGAAATGTGCACTTCCGAGTGACATGAAAGCACTGCTGCGCAGTGTGAGAGCAACACGAATGGAAGACCAAATGGCATCCAGCTCAAAGTGCTCAAGCTGCCATCTGGGCTTTCACTTCGGACTACCGATGTCGCCTTCCAATTTGCCCAAACCACATCATGCGAATAGCTGTAGACGGAGCCATCTTGCGTGAGCACATAAAAGGCAGTGTCAGACGAACGGCTTGAATGATCAACTTGCCTTGGAACTTGCTGTGAGCGGCTCTGTTCCACAAGCACGGAGAAGGCCAAGATGTGTGAGCTGGAGCACACAGCAGTCAGCTCAGTGATTACAAGAGGACACTGCAGCTGCTCCCAAGCTTGACGTATACGTGTCTGCATTGTCTGCATGTGGGAGTTGTCCCCCTTGGACACCATCATCACACATGGTCTCTTGCCAGCCAGCATACACGCCCAGAATGCGACAATCAAAGAATGCCGTGGCAAAGAAGGATCAAGTAAAATTCGAGCGCAGGCCTCCTCCTTGGTGGTAATCATAGCATCTCTGACAGCTTTCTGTATGCTGCATGCCAGCTTCTGAGCGAGGTCCAACAAGGCCGGATAACTCAGGAAACGCATCCGCAACTCTTCGAAATTGCCCCCATCGTCCTGTGAAGCCATTTGCATTCAACAAAGAAGGGATGCAAACCAACTTTCAGTAGCTTTGCTCTTCCATTCCCTCGTGTGGTGTTAACATAGTAAGATGAGGTTCAAGGTAGGATTCAAGTCAAGGCAGGAGCAGTGTGTCAATGCAGAGCGTAGGCATAGCAGGAGTTCAGTCTTCTTTCTCTAGTATCTCCAGTACCCGGGCTCAGCATGCGGGGTGCACGCTGTGGGCGTCAGATCTGGGTCCTAGGTCCTAGTGGTGGGTGGGGTGGGCTTGATTTCCAGTGTCCGAGTTCGGGCCGTGTAGCGCTTGTTTGGGAACCCAGGGACGAAATTTGACTAAACGATATCCAATCAAAACGAGATGGCATCTGTGGGCTTCCCTGCGGCCTTGGGTGTTCGACTAGTGGCATGGAACTCAACGGACTCAAGGCAATTGGTCGCAAGAAGTGGGCCTCGTAGACAGTAAAGCCACCCCAGGGGCTGCGCAATGCGGCGCTGTTCAATATGTCCGGGAGGTACGGATTTCCTCCATCAAGCGGAAGCTTGGCACCCGCAGCATAAGCTCGTCCCAAGCCGCCCATTGCCAAATCTGGCGGAGCAGCTGCGACGCGTGTGCAAGAAGCAGCACAGCTGCGGAGAGCACGTAGTGACGCAATAAGTGTCTGCTCCACGGTCATGATGCAAGCCATTGGCATCTACCCGGTGAGTTTAGGTCGCACCACGAGCATAACCTGAGGAAAACTAGTCCGCAATTTTGATGCCTTTCCAGTCGTGCTGTCTTTCGCGGGAGGACTGGTTTGCACATTTGGGCATCGCTGCTAGAGCGTAACAAGCTTAACGGCTGAAAGGCTGCTGTGCAATGGTGACCTTTCAGGCCACAAGCTTTTACCGCGCTGTGGTTCAGGTCCAACCGAGTTTCGGTCGGAAGGGAGAGCAACCAAGCAGCAACCCTGCCTGGGCTCCATCCCCGCTTCATGGCTCAGTCAACTTCATCGACATTTGTTGCTTCTGGAACCTGCAGCTCGAACTTGCCAAGCCCAGCGCTTCGTGCGCAATCGCTCAACTGATGCTATGAGGCCCTTGCAACCAAGCGGTGCAAAACCATTCATCTATCAATTCTGGATTTTGCCAGACATGGTCCAGCTACTCCAAAAGTGCCCCCAAGATGCATGGGAATATGCTATACTAGCATATACTAGCTCTATTATCTAGCCCTGATGATCTCTGATGTCATGATATAGTGATATGCTTGCTACACGCAAGCACGGCAGTCACTCATGCCTCTTCCACTGTTGGCCCGGTGGACGTACTTGCCGAATTCGCAGAACCTCAATAAGCAGCTCTGTATAAGCAGAAGTGCTGACATTGTCCACATGTTGAAGAATGCCTCCCGGAGCTCCGAAGCCCGCAGGCATTCCTCCAGGCATTCCCCCACCACCTCAAGTCAAGGCTTCATCTTGCCCTTCTGCTGTAGGGATGGCCGAGATGGCAACCAAACTTGGAAAATGCTCCCATCACCTGGCGTCGCATGGCTTGCTGACGTAGTGTCGCAACAATGCCGCCGGCCTTGTTGATGACATTCATGACGTCAGGATCGCTCTGGTACTTCCCAATATTTGCAGGATTGCTCATGATGTCCTGCAGCGCGGATCAGAAATCATTTCAGTGCGATTCTGCATGAGGGCGAGGAATTTGGCTCCTATAGGGCTACTGAGGCCTCCCCAAAAGACAAATTCCCCAAATCTGTTCAAAGATATCGCTAAGAAGAACAAATCCTATCTTATCCCTTGACTTTACGTGCATGAGATTTCGTTTCGAGTATTACTGCAGAAAAGCAAGAACATTTTCAAAGTCTCGGCGCCCAGAGGCATAGCAAACTGAGTTACCCCCAATACACGCCCACATCCAGGTAATATCTGAAGCTCAAGCCCACATGGGCGCCCATCCCTGAAGCCTGTACTCTGTGAAAGTTTGACTGACTGCACCTGAATCTGACTTGAAAACCTAAATCCAAAACGAATGTGAGCCGGCCCCAAAAACCTAGAGGCCAGCCTTCTATCCAATTTAACACGTTATCAGGTCTTTTTACGATAGACTCAAATAACATACACTACATTACACTACTACGTTATCATTTCATTTTACTCTTATCCTTTTCCCATGATCTGAACACGGCTATAGACTGTGTCAGTTCTATACAAACCGTAGAGACTCGGGTTCTGTCCCGGCTTACCCAAGAAAACACGTAATATTTGGGGTGGTGTTCTGTCATCGGGGGACTGTCTTTAGTTTAGATTACATCATCCAGCTCGCACCTCCACAGAAGCTAATTTTTCCACTTTCCTTGCCCAATAGTGCGTACGCAAACTACACGGAATTGCTGTTTGCCCTGCAGCACACACTGCGCGAACACACTCTTGCTATCGTGCTGCCTACGCAGACATTGCGGACTAACCGGCCCTCCTGGGCTATAGACAACTCTATCTTTTCTTGCCTATACAAAGCATACAGACTACGCAGACGAGACTACCTCTACCTGCCTATGCGAAACTATGCCACAACTACGCCCTGCAGGCCAGAGGCTACGCCAACAGTCTTGCAGTATTAGTTTCATCATCGCCATTATACTTATACATACCTAAGAAAAGCTGCGGAATTCGAATTCAATGAAGGATTTCATTCATTGCCTGGAAATTCAAGTCTTCGTATGGCTTTGAGACTGGGATTTGCATACAATGATCTCAAGGAAAGCTAATTTCAATTGGGAAGTGTGCGTGGTTTGTTGGGTTTTCTATGTAGTCTTCCAAGAGGAACCAAGCCTATATGTGGCTACAATCAGTATTCCCCACAAAATTAATGATAGACTGGGCTCCTTTGATTCATATTGATTCTTTTTAAGTTGCCCTGTTCCTTTTTGCATAATTCCAGACTTGTCTCAAAAACAACAATCCCCAATTCTACTTGAACTTCCTGTAGATTCATTTTTCTATATGTATATGAGCTACTGTCAATATTAAAGTTACCTAGGGGCCATTCAGGATGGACATAGGGGTCCTTTCGGTAGTTTAGTATAGTCCCTGCAGTAAAATTTTCCCTAATATGGCGAAGCGATCCCTTTCGTGAGGGTCTAGATTACCATTTTCAATTCCGAACCATGCACGCCAAAGCCTTGCCACGCTGGCCGCGCGTCATGTTTCCGTTTGCCGATACATATCCAGTGTTGAAGCGCTGGTTTGCAGCTGCCAGCCAACTGCACCGCGTGCGTGGCGTGCCATACTTGCGAGCCTCCGACTGAGAGCTCGTCGACTTTAAAGTATGTTTGTAATTTGCGGCCCACCGAGCACCCAGTAAGCAGGCGTTGGGGTTCACAGCGGGGCGACCGTGCCGGCAAGGTTCTGCGCCTTTCTGCAGCTGGAGGCCGGTGGCGTTACCGTCGAAATGCATCCCGTTTTGCGCATGGTGTGGGTGCGCAATGTTGGTGGTTTATTTCTTTATTTTCTTAAAAACATTGTTGTTATCTTGAGCCGCATTAAATGCTGTAAATTACGGCATCTGCTGGTCCTGTTATGCTTTCAAAGTTTTTTAAGTTGTGAATTACAGCATTTGCTGGTCTCGCAGCGTTGCACTCCTGCAACTGTCCTCAAAATACCTTTAGAAAAGCGGGTGCAAGGTTCGTGTTTCCAGTTTACTTGCTGGTTGTTCGTAACGAAAAGGGAATGGACATGGACGCCATGATATGATTGGGGACTACGAAGAGGGGGCCGCTAAACTGCTGCTAGACGGATCCACTCCTCCATTCCCTACTAACCGCCAGTAAAAGTTTGGCATGTAGTGGAGCTATCACGCTTAAAGCCCACTCCAAAAAATCAAAAGTTCGCACTCACCTTCGCCAATATATACAAATTCCTAACCGTAAACCCTGGACCAACATGATACCTGCTAATTGTCTCCTTTCTTAAATACTGCAAATTGATCTTCTCCTTTTGCTTCCTCAAGCGCGGTCATGCAGCTCTTGATGTGTACAACATGGAGGCTGCCTTCCATTAACGTTGGTACGCCCCCCAGTCCAGGGTGTGCACATCCGTGCCCCATCCTGCCCAGGACCGCAAGTCATCTCCGACACCTGGATCTCCCTACGTACCGTTCTGCGGACTCCAGAAAACCACGCTAGCCACACCACCCTGCACGTCTGTGCCCGTGCCACTGACAACTCACCGGGGAGGTGATAAGAACTCAGAGGTTACTGCCATTGAGAACTCACCGGGGAGGTGATAAGAACTCAGAGCTTACTTCTCGGGTGAGAGGGTGGCGGAACCCCGGGGCAAAAGAGGCCAGTGCCATAGCACCCAGCGTTACGTACGAACGCAGATGAAAATCGAATGATGCATATGGGTGAAACACAAAGATCAACAGGGCTGCCTGGGCTGAAACATTGCAGCACCAACTGAACCCTGCTCACCACACCTGCCAAACACCAAGCAGATCACATTTGGTTACTGCAAGTTGGTCTTTTCCTTTTTCTTCCTCAAGCGCGGTCACGCAGCTCTTGATATATAAAGCATGGAGACTGCTTTCCATTAACGCTGGTAGCCCCCACAATCCATGGGGCGGTCACATCCGTGACCACCAGTCCTGCCCAGATCCGTAGGTCATCGCTGATACCTGGATCTCCCAGAGCATTAGGGCTCCCAACGCATTAAGGAAAGCGAAATACGAAGCTGAGCACTGGAATCGGAAGCAGCCATAGACGGATCGCCAGAAGGGGTCCTGCATTGCATCCCAAGTCCCGAGACAGGACATGCTGTCGGTCCAGTTAAACTTGCTCTCGACACATTCTAACCACATGTGGGAGTGTAGCTGAAAGAGAAGCAGATGCACCATCTGAGCCATGTGGTCGAGGCTGGAATGTCGGCCGGTGCCTTTACCAGGGTCATAAGTGCGGCAACGTGGTGACCCACCAAACTCCGGATTTTGAGCGGAGGTCCGCGAAGCAGAGGAGGCCTTGGAGAATCGAACGTTGATGTAGGGCAGATTACAGGAGTATCGTCTGCCCAACACTGGCAACCGTTCCAAACGCTCCCTGATCCAAGAGCCCCAAGCACCCGAAAAGCTCGCTGGCGAGTCCAGGAGGCAGAGACTTGTGAAGTTAGGCTGCGTCCATCAAATCATTGGTCTTGTCAATGAGACAGGCCCAATTCGCAGCGGGATCCTCCTGCGCTGGGAACACCGTTCCAAAATCTCCTTGCTTGGACGGAGGCTGGCGTTTAGCCTCCGCACACGCGTACCCCAGGAGGGAGACACACACCTCCAGCGCGCTCTGTGATCGAGCTGTCGCGTTAGAGAAATCCTGCGCCGCTGCGTCATCAAAAGGAACACAAAATACACAGGCTATGGCCGTTTAAAAGCATATATACCACCAAAGGGAGGCCGAACAGCATACTATGGTAACGCCTTCACCACGTTTGCCTTTGGTAAGGGTACACTACCAGGCAAGCTCAAGAATGCTCTGGAAGCATGGGAATCTTGCGGCAAGCATCGGGAAGGCCCTCCCCAAAAAGTGACCACCTCACGGTCCAGCATGCCTCGCCGTGGGCAGCCAGCCCCGCTGAAGCAAGAGCTTGACGGTGAGGGCAGCGCAATTGTGCAACTTGCTAGGATCGCTGCTGGCCTCACTCTGTCCGCCACCTTTAGCCCCTTGTTGTACCTGATGATTGCGCAACGCAGAATCACCTCACCAGGCGAAAGTCCTCTGCAGGCAAATTGGCCACAGGCTGCGCAGGTGTACACCACCCGTGGATCTCATCCCGCAAGCCTGCCTCATGAGTGAGGCCGTCATGGTCGCCACTGCGAACTTGTCTCAGCAAAGGTGGGGCTTGTGACGGGCCAGAGCTGAGAGTGCTGACCAGACTCGGGCAAAGCCCAGTGCTGGAAACCCTTCCAGGAGGCCCCTCAGGAGGCATCGGGCCTTGATAAGAGCACAAAGAGTACTGCCATGAGCGCAACATGCGTCACCTAGCAAACGTCAGACTATTTGTGATCGCAAAACGTCAGTAACTGGCTGACGCCAAGCCAGAGTACGTCTGCCGGCCATACAAGAATCTCCTCAAACAGGCAAGTGCTGCTGCGTCACCATGACTTGGGACGCATACTGAACGTCCCACTCATCCGGAGAGGGAGAGGTACGCGTCCAGGCTGGCTTGAAAATGCGCTTCAGAACGCAGATCAGGGAGCGACGGGCGGAAGTCAGGCCTTGTGATTGGCTGCCCCACTGATTGGCACCCAGGAGCAAGCCTTCCAAGAAGCTGGCTACGCGGATGAATGAGTGGGTTCGTGTTCGGGCGCAGGTACATGGCCAAGCCAGTGGTGCTGTGCTCGACTTGGTGTTTCAGGAAATTCGTGCTGAGAACGCACTGCCAGCTCTCCGGACCCCTCCTATGGCAGAGCCCAAGATTGCGCCTGAGCTTGCCTAATCAGTTTCACGTTGGGCAGCATGGCTCGGCCTTGGGCTGCTTGGATGTCAAGCTCCCATCTTTCCTTCAAGACGTGGCCAATATTCTTGGTCTACAAGCGCTGGCTTCGAGCCCAGTAGCTTCCTTTTGACGGGCTGCCGGAAAAGCGTTTGGAATCTCTTCAGCTTCTGCATGTCAGCAGGTGGGAAATAGTAGGCGAAATCCGCGTCATTGACCAGGCGGTCGGTACGAAACCGTATGACGGAGGAACGCTCCAGCAACACCATGCTGTCCTCAGCCTCCACTAGGAGAGACACTCCCAAAGCAGAGAGGACAGAAGAAAAGACAAAGATCAACAGGATCCACCTGCCCTTTTGGCTGTTTGGGTCGAGACATTGCAGTAACAAATGAAATCTGCTCACCACACCCGCCGAACACGAAGCAGATCAAAAACCTTGAGCAGCAAATTCATTATTTTTCTGCATGTCTGTTTAATCATCCCTATGTTCACGCTTATGGGCCCTTGGTAATTCTGATGCTGACAGTAGCTCAGATGCTTTACAAGTAGGATTTTAGTTTCATAAGGGGCCTCTCAGCGTTGAGAAATCATCTTCCATTTCAAGCCTCCATGTTAGTCAACTGCTCAGCTACTCCGGCAATTCCTGTGTCGATCGATTCACTTGCGCTGCGCACCGCGCGATACTTTATTGAGTTATTGCTTGCATAGTTTTTTGTAGAAAATCTGTATCAACGGGAACACCTGGATAACATTTCTGTTGAATTATATAACACCGTGGAACCGAACCTGAACCGCTGAAGCGAACTGTAGTGATTGGAACTGAACCGGGCGAATCTCAAGAGAAATCAAATCGTCCAAACCGAACCAGTATGCCAACCAGACCGAGATTACTTGCCAAATCCTCCAGCTCAAGGGCCGTCCAAGAGCACAAAACAACCAAACGCATTTCAAAAGCTTCCAGCACGACTGCATCTGCATGAGCGAGACCACCCCACAATAACGTAACGGAAGGCAGTTGATCCAAGAGTTA